AGATTTATGCTGAGCAAGGGCCCGGCCAGTGTTGCTCAGTGGTTGAGCCTCGACCTATGAACCTGGAGGACATGGCTCAGGGCACACGTCCCACTTGTGCCTGGATCCCCGGGAGGGAGAGGCCATGCAGGAGGCAGCCAGTCGATGAAATTCTCTATGAACCTGGAGGTCATGGCTCAGGGCACATGTCCCACTTGTGCCTGGATCCCCGGGAGGGAGGGGCCATGCAGGAGGCAGCCAGTCGATGAAATTCCTCTCTCATCAGTGTTTGTATCCCTCTATCCCTCTACCGAAAAATCAGTTAAAACGAACGAACCAAAATCCCGCTCCCAATGATATCACCTCACACCTTGAAGAATGGGTGCCATCAGGTAGATCCGCCCTGGCTGGTGTTGCTCAGTGGGTGGAGCATCGGCCTGCAGATTGAGGGTCCCGGGTTCATTCTGGTCAGGGCACATGGCCGGGCTGTGGGCACGATCCCCAGTGAGGGGCATGCAGGAGGCTGCTGATCCATGATTCTCTCTCATCCTTGATGTTTATCTCTCTCCCCCTTCTTCTCTGCAATCAATAAAAATTAAAAATAAATCTACCTTATGATCCAGCAATTCCACTTCTGGGTGTGCAGCCAGAGGAAATGAAAAACAGGCTATTGAAGAGACATATGCACCCGTGTTTATTACAGCATGTTCACAACAGCCAGGAAATGCAGACAGCCTAGTGCCGGCGACGGATGGACGGATGAAAGAAGGTGCGATACACACACACACACACACACACACACTGGAATATTGTTCAACCTCGAGACAGGAGGAAACGCTGTCATCTGTGAAACACGGGAAGACCTTGAGGACATTACGCTGAGACAGAGAAGGACAAACCCTGCATGATGTCCCTTTTAGGTGGAATCTGAAACAAACAAAACAAACAGGACTGAAAAAACAAGGAGAGGGCTGTTGGTTTACCCAAGGCTGGTGGTGGGGACAGGAGAGAGTGCGAAGGGCACATACTTGCAACTAGCAGGTCAGTGGTTCCTGGAGACCCAGTCCACAGGACGGAGTCACACACAACGACGTGATCGTAAGCATCCAACGTGACATGTGCTCCCACCAGAGGACACCACAGAGGTGACAGCTACTGCCAGGCGGCAACCTCTGTGCGACATAAAGCTATCAGATAAACAGACTGTGCATCGGAGACTTAGGCAACATCACGTCCATTGTGTCTCAAAAACAACATGTCATAAACACATTCACCTGAGGCCTGGGATGGTCTTTACCTGTACAGTACAGCATGCCCACCCACAGTAAGTCCTTCTCTCCTCCGATACGGCGTGCATTAGGGAACATTTTTAGTGTTCTCCTGCCGGCTCATAGATGACCTCCTGCCGGCTCCATAGATGATCTGCAGGCTCCATAGATCAGCGGTTCTCAACCTGTGGGTCGCGACGCCTTTGGCGGTCGAACGCCCCTTTCACAGGGGTCGCCTAAGACCATCCTGCATATCAGATATTTACATGACGATTCATCACAGTAGCAACATGACAGTGATGAAGTAGCAACGAACATAATGTTATGGTTGGGCCACAACATGAGGAGCTGTATTAAAGGGCCAGAAGGTTGAGAACCACTGCCACAGACGATCTCCTGCAGGCTCCATAAATGAAGTCGTCACATGTATCAGGCTGACGCTCCTCACGGGCGGGGACAGTGTTTTGCGACAAAGGAAGATTTCGCGAACACCCGCGGCCGCTCTCGGGGGGAGGGCAGAGCTGTGCACTGAGTCAGCGAAGGGACGCGGCCCTTTCACCCGAAGCCCTGCTGTCCCCGCCCCCAACGGCATCGTGAAGAACCGCTGTGGGCTCGTCAGGGAACCGGAGAGGAGTCACCAGACGCGGCCCTTTCACCCCAAGCCCTGCTGTCCCTGCCCGCAACGGCATCGTGGAGAACCGCCGTGGGCTCGTCAGGGAACCGGAGAGAAGCCACCGGTGCTCTCCTCTCTCACATCCACTCTCCTTCCTCCCCCTTGACGTCTGCTCTTTGTTCTTAAACGTTCCTGTGGTTGCTTCTCAGCGCTCACCGAGGGCAGAGCGGCAGCTGAAGGATTCTGTCAACAGCCCTGGCCCTTCATCGGTTTTCAGATGTGGCCGCCTCCTCCACTCCCCGCCAGCGACCTGGGGAGGAGAAACACTGGTGACGTGCGTGACCCGATGGCAAGCTGCCCCCACGACGAACGTGCCCGAGACAGCCGGGGACCGACCACGGGGCCGCGGGCAGAACACGGGAGAGGAATCAGGATGAGGCGGGGCTGGGGCCTCAGAGGTCACAGAACGAAGGAGACGCCACAGGGGAGAGGGTGTGAGGATGGAAGCAGCCCGGCCGGCGTGGCTCAATGGTTGAGCATCAACCTATAAACCAGGAGGTCAGGGTTCGATTCCCGGTCAGGGCACATGCCCGGGTTGCAGGCTCCATACTCAGTATAGGGCGTGCGGGAGGCAGCCGATCCAGGATTCCCTCTCATCACTGATGTTTCTATCTCTCCCTTTTTCTACCTCTGAAAGCAATTAAAAAATGACATATATCTATTAGTATATGTGGATGGAAACAGTGCACAGAGGAGAGGCACGGTCTCCCATCAGGGCTGCGGCTCCCGGGACGGATGAGTGCTGTGCCCAGGGCTCTGTCCAGAGCCAGCGGTCTGGCTGCAGCTGAACACCGTCTTCAGGGGAAGGCGGGGACGGGTACCGCTGACCCGTTAAAGGGAAGCCGGTGCTGAGGAGCACGGCCCCGAGTGCCAAGCGAAGAGCAGACGAGACCCGGGCCAGGGGTCGGGGGCTACGGTGCCCGAGGTCAGGGTCGGACCGAGCAAAGCCGAACCCAGGCCAGGAGCCCGCGGTGGCTACAGGTTTGAGTCTCAGGCTGCAGGTTCAATCCTCAGTTGGGGCGGGTGCGAGAGGCACCTGATCGATGTATCTCTATCACATTAATGTTTTCTCTCTAAAAACGTATCCTCAGGGGAGGATGAAAACAAAACAAACCAAAACAAACAGGGGCCGATGCTGACGGACACGCAGCGGGCGTCACGTGAGCCAGCCCTGATGCGCCCTGAGCCACGCTCCCCACGGCTTCTCACCGGGCCAGGCCTCCCCCTCGTCTCCTCTGCGGGGCCTGGAGCTGCGCCCACCTTCTCAGGAACCCGGGCGCTACGCCTACTCCGCGTGGGTGACCGCAGGGGACCTGGAGACGGCGAGTCCTGAGGGGAAAGAAGGGCTGGTGAGTGGCTGGCGTGGACCCGGGGCGGCCCTCCCCACAGGGAAGCAAAGTCCGTATTGGGAAAAATCCCGGAAGAAGGTTCTGCAGGGGCAGCTCTGTCCCACAAGCAACGATCCCGCCAGGGCCTACCGTCCCCGGGACAGTCGGGCCCAGGAAATGCCAGCCGGGGGCCTGGGGGCAGAAGGCAGGAGCAGAGGGGCCGGGCATTTAGACAGTCACACCCCCAGGGGTCGCCCGGCCACCTGGGACCTGCTGGGTCAATGGCGAGGCTCAGGCCACCCCATCCTTCATCTCACCGCTCCGGGCAGGAGACAGACGTGGGGCAGCCTCAGGACTCACATCACCTACGACAGACAGACCCCCGAGACAGACAGCTGCCCCCTGGGGGGTCGGGGAGGAGATGAGTGGGGCTGAACCTAAAAACTTTCCTAATCAAGTGAATGGGACATCCCTCCTGGAAACAGGTTACAAAAATGCCGGAATCCATCTCGGACGTCAGCTCACGCTCTTGGAGACCGACGGCCTTGTTACCTGCTCATGAAGACAACACGGCAAGAAACAGGAAGGGGCCCTGGCCGGTGTGGCTCAGTGGATAGAGTGTCGGCCTGCGGACTAAAGAGTTTGATTCTGGCCCTAACTGGTTTGGCTCAGTGGATAGAGCGTGGGCCTGCAGACTAAAGAGTTTGATTCTGGCCCTAACCGTTTTGGCTCAGTGGATAGAGCGTCGGCCTGCGGACTCAAGGGTCCCAGGTTCGATTCCGGTCAAGGGCATGTACCTTGGTTGTGGGCACATCCCCAGTGGGAGGTATGCAGGAGGCGGCTGATCGATGTTTCTCTCTCATCAATGTTTCTAACTCTCTACCCCTTCCCTCAATTCTCTGTAAAAAATCAATAAAATATATTTTTTTTAAAAAAGAGTTTGATTCTGGTCAAGGGCATATGCCTGGGGTTCGGGCTCCATTCCTAGCAGGGGGCCTGCAAGAGGGAGTCAATCAATCATTCCCTCTCATCACTGATGTTTCTATCTTTCTCTCTCCCTCTCGCTCCCTCTATGAAATCAAGGAAAATATATTATACAAAAAAGAGAAACAGAGGAAGGGCTCCGACCAACAGCCTCTTCACTCGGCTCCAGTGTAAGCCTTGAGGTGAGACGGCCGCCCCAGACAGCGTGACCCCAAGGTCACAACGACCTCACGCTCCCGGTGCCCACGTAGGATAGGCCTGATGCTCGACCCACAGGACCTGTGAGATAATAAATGTGTTTTCAACCCACTAAGCTGGGGGGGATTTCCCGCGTAGCAACCGGTCACGGGGTCGGGACTCACCCAGGGAGGACACGAGGGCGAAGTTCTCCAGCATCACGTCGCGGTACAGGCGCCTCTGAGCCTCGTCCAGGAGCCCCCACTCCTCCCGGGAGAAGTACACGAACACGTCCTCGAAGGTCACCGGCCACCCCAGCCCCCAGCTCCCAGGAGACACCAGGCCTTGGCAAGGCTGGCGCCCGCTGTCCCCCCACAGCCTCTGATCACTGAGTCCAGCCCAGAGCGGGAGCAGCGGGTGAGCCGACAGACACTGTTAGGGGCAGAAAGAGACTATTGGGGAGCAGCTATCATTCTAAGAAACAGGAATTGCCCTGACCAGTGTTGCTCAGTGGATAGAGCCTCTGCCTAAGGACTGAAGCGCCCGGGTTCAATTCCTGGTCAGGGCACATGCCTGGGTTGTGGTCTTGATCCCCAATGTTAACCGTGACTGTTTGGCTCTGATGAAAGAAAACACACTCTGACGTGGCTGGGAGCTGCACATGGAGTCTGAGAGCTGCCCTGGAAATGCAGCCCATCCTCCTCATTATCAGGAAACGATTAATAATCCAGCTGCAGAAACCAGCGCCACCAGCCCTTTGCACACCCACAGGTGTTTGCACATCTCCAGCCCCCATTACCTGTGAACTGCCCTCCTGGCACACCCTTCTGCCTACTTCCCCATGTGACCTTCGTCTTCCGACCCAATATAGGCAGCTGGCTCATGGAGGGGGCAGAGAAGTCATTCATGGATGACCGGCTGCCCCTCCCATGCTGTGGGCCGTACAGTCGGTCCTCAGGTTACCTCGGAGACCCGTTCCCACGGGGTGACCTAAGGCGATTTTCGCCCTTAAGTCAGAACCCACCTACGTAAACACCTACGTCACTCACATGGAGCTCATACAGAGCAGTCATGAAGTGAAACAATAAAATAAATTTAAAAGAAAGATAACAGCTCCGGCTGGTGTGGCTCAGTGGATAGTGTCGGCCTGCAAACTGAAAGATCCCGGGTTCGATTCCAGTCAAGGGCACATGCCTGGGTTGCGGGCTGGATCCCCAGTGGGGGGCGTGCGGGAGGCAGCCGATCCATGATTCTCTCTCATCATTGATGTTTCTATCTCCCTCTTCCTTCCTCTCTGAAATCAATAAAAAATATATTTTTAAAAAAAGGTAAGCCCTAACCGGTGTGGTTCAGTGGATAAAGCTGCAGCCTGCGGACTCAAGGGTCCCGGATTCGATTCCGGTCAAGGGCATGGACCTTGGTTGCAAGCACATTCCCAGTAGGGGGTGTGCAGGAGGCAGCTGATCGATGTTTCTCTCTCATCGATGTTTTTCTCTATCCCTCTTCCTTCCTCTCTGTAAAAAATTAATTTTGGGGAGGCCTAATTTCCAAGATACATTATTGTTAAAACAGTTCACAACACTAAGCCTGGGGCTGGTTCTGCCAACACCCAAGCTACAAATGCTTGTCTGGCAGCTGAGGGGCGCTCTGCGGTAGCATGTTTGAGAATTGAATAAAAATCCATATAAAACAAATGTTTAAATAGTTTCCATAGGAACACATAAGTGTGACCCCGTCGCCTAGGCCTTCCACCTTGTTCCATCTGTGCCACCCCCACTTACAAAGACATTCCAAACTAGCAATCATTAAGTGGTCCCCCCAAATACCTTAAGTCAAGCTACACTCGAGTAACAGCTATAGGAATGGATAACAATTCCTGACCTTTACTTGTGGTAAATAATAAAAAACATAAAACACATGTTCACAGGTTGAGATGACGAAACTTTTTTTTAAATATTTTGATTTTTTTAAGACTATATTTTATTGATATTTTTACAGAGAGGAAGGAAGAGGGATAGAGAGTTAGAAACATCAATGAGAGAGAAACATCAATCAGCTGCCTTCTGCACACCCCCCACTGGGGATGTGCCCGAAACCCAGGTACATGCCCTTGACCGGAATCGAACCTGGGACCCTTCAGTCCGCAGGCCGACGCTCTATCCACTGAGCTGAACCGGTTAGGAGTGTGTGTGTGTATAATATGTATATGTATATATGATATGTATATATGATACGTATATTGAGAGCTCTTACACATACATGTATACATATACATATATACATATATATAAATAAAATAATGGAAGACGGCGACGGAACCACGAAACGACCTCCGTGGAGTCTGAGGTGACCCGAGGGCTGTCCGTGTTGGAACAGACAGACGCTCACTTAGTATCCGAACCGTCTCGGCTGAACGGGCTCCCGTAGTGACAGGCAGCCGGACCCTTGGACTGTCCGGGTTCAAGTCCATGCAAACTGGGGGTCTGGCAGGCAGGACCCCCCCCTCCCCGATCCCCG